CCCACACATATGGACTACAGACCCCCACACAGACTATGGACTACAGACCCCCACACAGACTATGGACTACAGACCCCCACACAGACTATGGACTACAGACCCCCACACAGACTATGGACTACAGACCCCCACATAGACTATGGACTACAGACCCCTCATAGACTATGGACTACAGACCACACAGACTATGGACTACAGACCCCCACACAGACTATGGACTACAGACCCCCATACACAGACTATGGACTACAGACCCCCCACACAGACTATGGACTACAGACCCCCACACAGACATATGGACTACAGACCCCCACACAGACTAGACTACAGACCCCATGACTACAGACCCCCACACAGACTATGGACTACAGACCCCCACACAGACTATGGACTACAGACCCCCACACAGACTATGGACTACAGACCCCCACACAGACTATGGACTACAGACCCCCACAGACATGGACTACAGACCCCCACACAGACTATGGACTACAGACCCCCACACAGACTATGGACTACAGACCCCCACACAGACTATGGACTACAGACCCCCACACAGACTATGGACTACAGACCCCACACAGACTATGGACTACAGACCCCCACATAGACTATGGACACAGACCCCACACAGACTATAGACTACAGACCCCCCACACAGACTATAGACTACAGACCCCCACAGACTATGGACTACAGACCCCCACACAGACTATGGACTACAGACCCCCACACAGACTATGGACTACAGACCCCCACACAGACTATGGACTACAGACCCCCACACAGACTATGGACTACAGACCCCCACACAGACTATGGACTACAGACCCCCCACACAGACTACAGACCCCCACACAGACATGGACTACAGACCCCACACAGACAGACTACAGACCCCCACACAGACTACAGGACCCACACAGACTATAGGACTACAGACCCCCACACAGACTATAGGACTACAGACCCCCACACAGACTATGGACTACAGACCCCCACACAGCCATAGAACTAGACTACAGACCCCCCCACATAGACTACAGACCCCACACAGACTATGGACTACAGACCCCCACTACAGACCCCCACACAGACTACAGACCCCACTATAGACTACAGACCCCCACACAGACTATAGACTACAGACCCCCCCCCACACAGACTATAGACTACAGACCCCCCCATAGACTATAGACTACAGACCCCCACACAGACTACAGACCCCCCCCCCATAGACTATAGACTACAGACCCCACACAGACTATGGACTACAGACCCCCACACAGACTACAGACCCCCACAGACTATAGACCCCCACAGACTATAGACTACAGACCCCCACACAGACTACAGACACAGACTACAGACCCCCACAGACTACAGACCCCCACACAGACTACAGACCCCCACACAGACTACAGACCCCACACAGACTACAGACCCCCACACAGACTACAGACCACCACACAGACTACAGATGTTGTGATCTTTGTTCAGGAGGTTCTCCCACACAAGCGTTGTTTGATGTTGGCTCAGGTTCAGTCAATAGACAGCGATGTTGATCAAAGTCATCGGATCTGTCAGGGACAGTAAAGTTTTATGGTGATGTCCCATGGTGCCAAGACACCCTACAGCCAGTCAGAGGAGGAGAAGCTTCTTCCTGATTCCACACAAAGTATAAATAGCTGACACCACAGTCCAGCAGAAGAACCGCTGAGGACCTCAAGATGTGGACCAGACTTCTGTGTCTTCTCGGCCTCTTCTACCTGGGTGACTGTGTCACTGTCAAGGTAAGATCCTGGCCCCCGAGTATTGGTGGAGGCCGGAACGTTATACCAACTAACGGTTTCTTCATCCCTCAGGAGACCTCAGCACTTCATTGCCCAGTCTGAGGAGGTTGGGAGGGGGTCCCATTCTACTTGGTAAAACTTTATCCTGTTATATATTGTACAGAAACACCCAGCTGGGCATCCAGGGACTATGAAGGCAACACCCCGAGCAATCTATACCAAACCCAGAGACAACCTAAACAGCCCGTAGATCATGCAATTGTATTTCCTTCAACCACGAGTGATAGGAAAGAAGATTCCTTCAACACAGTCAATGTTGGTGGTGGAATCCCTCCCACAGCACTCTTGAGTTCTGCTGGTGGGGAGCCCTCCCTGCTGGCAGAACACAATGATCATAGCTGGTGGCTCAAGCCTCGTCAGTGAACGCATGAAAGAATTGAAACTGGCTGGTTGTACTGAAGTCGGTTGATGGGTCAACTTCAGTACAATCAACCTGCCCATAGATGGTCCCTGCTTACCCGGCCAAGAGTCCACCCATCTATGGCTGGCTTTAGACTCTAAGGCTTCTCCTCTGATTGGTTTTCACTTTTTGGTGGATTGACCTATTGCCATTCTGTGTGATCCATGTCCTTTCCTTCGAAAATGGAACGTGGTCGATTCTGCTCCACAGATATCCAAATACTTTCTGCAGAGCGGAGATACGGTAGGTACATGGTGTGTGTGAGGTGACACCAGGGCGGTGGGAAGGTTGGATGAAGATGACATGTTCTGCCAATCATTGCTTCTTCCTCTAGGATGGAATTTGTTACATAGGATCTGCAGGTAAAAAAGGTCCATGAAGACTGACACCTTCATTGTCCAATCAGATGTCACACTAGAGTGTGAGGCCCAGCCTGGCCCTGGAGCCCAATATACGGCCCCTGGGCATTTCTGAGCAGCCCTCAGGGCCCCTGCATACAGTCATTTGTGTTTTCCTGCAATAGCAGTAATCTCACGCTGCTTCATGTACTGTCTCCGGTCTATGATGGTCTAAAGCTTGTCTCCCAACAACTCCTACAGCATGTCCGCAGTCTCTGACCGCCTCCTGTACTGTGTCCGCAGTCTCTGGTCATCTCCTGTACTGTGTCCGCAGTCTCTGACCGCCTCCTGTACCGTGTCCGCAGTCTCTGACCGCCTCCTGTACCGTGTCCGCAGTCTCTGACCGCCTCCTGTACCGTGTCCGCAGTCTCTGACCGCCTCCTGTACCGTGTCCGCAGTCTCTGACCGCCTCCTGTACCGTGTCCGCAGTCTCTGACCGCCTCCTGTACTGTGTCCGCAGTCTCTGACCGCCTCCTGTACCGTGTCTGCAGTCTCTGGTCATCTCCTGTACCGTGTCCGCAGTCTCTGGTCATCTCCTGTACCGTGTCCGCAGTCTCTGACCGCCTCCTGTACCATGTCCGCAGTCTCTGGTCATCTCCTGTACCGTGTCCGCAGTCTCTGACCGCCTCCTGTACCGTGTCCGCAGTCTCTGGTCATCCCCTGTACCGTGTCCGCAGTCTCTGGTCATCCCCTGTACCGTGTCCGCAGTCTCTGGTCATCCCCTGTACCGTGTCCGCAGTCTCTGGTCATCCCCTGTACCGTGTCCGCAGTCTCTGGTCATCCCCTGTACCGTGTCCGCAGTCTCTGGTCATCCCTGTACCGTGTCTGCAGTCTCTGGTCATCCCTGTACCGTGTCCGCAGTCTCTGGTCATCCCCCTGTACCGTGTCCGCAGTCTCTGGTCATCCCCTGTACCGTGTCCGCAGTCTCTGGTCATCCCTGTACCGTGTCCGCAGTCTCTGGTCATCCCTGTACCGTGTCCGCAGTCTCTGGTCATCTCCTGTACCGTGTCCGCAGTCTCTGGTCATCCCGTCCCTGTACCGTGTCCGCAGTCTCTGGTCATCTCCTGTACCTGTGTCCGCAGTCTCTGGTCATCTCCTGTACTATGTCCGCAGTCTCTGGTCATCCCCTGTACTATGTCCGCAGTCTCTGGTCATCTCCTGTACTGTGTCCGCAGTCTCTGGTCATCCCCTGTACCGTGTCCGCAGTCTCTGGTCATCTCCTGTACCGTGTCCGCAGTCTCTGGTCATCCCCTGTACCGTGTCCGCAGTCTCTGGTCATCCCCTGTACCGTGTCCGCAGTCTCTGGTCATCCCCTGTACCATGTCTGTAGTCTCTGACTGTCTCCTGTACTGTGTCCGCAGTCTCTGGTCATCTCCTGTACTGTGTCTGCAGTCTCTGGTCATCCCCTGTACTATGTCCGCAGTCTCTGGTCATCTCCTGTACTATGTCTGCAGTCTCTGGTCATCTCCTGTACTGTGTCTGCAGTCTCTGGTCATCTCCTGTACTGTCTGCAGTCTCTGGTCATCTCCTGTACTGTCTGCAGTCTCTGGTCATCCCCTGTACCATGTCTGCAGTCTCTGACCGTCTCCTGTACCATGTCTGCAGTCTCTGGTCATCTCCTGTACTGTGTCTGCAGTCTCTGGTCATCTCCTGTACTGTGTCTGCAGACTCTGGTCATCCCCTGTACTATGTCCGCAGTCTCTGGTCATCTCCTGTACTATGTCTGCAGTCTCTGGTCATCTCCTGTACCATGTCTGTAGTCTCTGACTGTCTCCTGTACTGTGTCTTTGATCTCTGACCATCTCTTGTAGAATGTCCACAGTCTCTGACTGTCTAAAGAACAGAGGTATACTGCTCAGGCAAACAATCCAGATCGATCCACGACAGGTGCAGGCTCCGGCTCGCCCCCCCAGACAATGGAACAGGAAGAAGGGCGAGCCGCACACCGGAGGGTGGATGAATGTAGTGTGTAATTATTGATCCATAGGACACACAAAGCACCAGGACAGGAATACAGGACCGGTTCATGCGTTTCACATGAGAAGCACGAGATCACGTGATACACGCTAACAGGTCCTGTATTCCTGTCCTGGTGCTTTGTGTGTCCTATGGATCAATAATTACACACTACATTCATCCACCCTCCGGTGTGCGGCTCACCCTTCTTCCTGTCCGCAGTCTCCGGTCATCTCCTGTACTGTGTCCGCAGTCTCTGGTCATCTCCTGTACTGTGTCCGCAGTCTCTGGTCATCTCCTGTACTGTGTCCGCAGTCTCCGGTCATCTCCTGTACTGTGTCCGCAGTCTCTGGTCATCTCCTGTACTATGTCCGCAGTCTCTGGTCATCTCCTGTACTGTGTCCGCAGTCTCTGATCATCTCCTGTACTATGTCCGCAGTCTCTGGTCATCTCCTGTACTGTGTCCGCAGTCTCTGGTCATCTCCTGTACTGTGTCTGTGTCGCAGTCTCTGGTCATCTCCTGTACTGTGTCCGCAGTCTCGGTCATCTCCTGTACTGTGTCCGCAGTCTCTGGTCATCTCCTGTACTATGTCCGCAGTCTCTGGTCATCTCCTGTACTGTGTCCGCAGTCTCTGGTCATCTCCTGTACTCTCCGCAGTCTCTGGTCATCTCCTGTACTGTGTCCGCAGTCTCTGGTCATCTCCTGTACTATGTCCGCAGTCTCTGGTCATCCCTGTACTATGTCCGCAGTCTCTGGTCATCCCCTGTACTGTCTGCAGTCTCTGGTCATCTCCCTGTACTGTGTCTGCAGTCTCTGGTCATCTCCTGTACTGTGTCTGCAGTCTCTGGTCATCTCCTGTACTATGTCCGCAGTCTCTGGTCATCTCCTGTACTGTCCGCAGTCTCTGGTCATCTCCTGTACTGTCTGCAGTCTCTGGTCATCTCCTGTACTGTGTCTGCAGTCTCTGGTCATCTCCTGTACTGTGTCTGCAGTCTCTGGTCAGTCTCTGGTCTCATCTCCTGTACTGTGTCCGCAGTCTCTGGTCATCTCCTGTACTGTGTCCGCAGTCTCTGGTCATCCCCTGTACTGTGTCCGCAGTCTCTGGTCATCCTGTACTGTGTCCAAATAAAGGACAGTTCATACTATGTCCGCAGTCTCTGGTCATCCCCTGTACTACCGTGTCCGCAGTCTCTGGTCATCCCCTGTACTGTCTCCGCAGTCTCTGGTCATCCCCTGTACTGTGTCCGCAGTCTCTGGTCATCCCCTGTACTGTGTCCGCAGTCTCTGGTCATCCCCTGTACTGTCTCATCTCCTGTACTGTGTCCGCAGTCTCTGAATCTGTATTGTAGGTCGGAGGTCACTCAGTAATGGCGGCTCTCTCTGTATTGTAGGTGGGAGGTCACTCAGTAATGGCGGCTCTCTCCGTATTGTAGGTCGGAGGTCACTCAGTAATGGCGGCTCTCTCTGTATTGTAGGTCGGAGGTCACTCAGTAATGGCGGCTCTCTCTGTATTGTAGGTCGGAGGTCTCAGTAATGGCGGCTCTCTCTGTATTGTAGGTCGGAGGTCACTCAGTAATGGCGGCTCTGTCTGTATTGTAGGTCAGAGGTCACTCAGTAATGGCGGCTCTCTCTGTATTGTAGGTGGGAGGTCACTCAGTAATGGCGGCTCTCTCTGTATTGTAGGTCAGAGGTCACTCAGTAATGGCGGCTCTCTCTGTATTGTAGGTCAGAGGTCACTCAGTAATGGCGGCTCTCTCTGTATTGTAGGTGGGAGGTCACTCAGTAATGGCGGCTCTCTCTGTATTGTAGGTGGGAGGTCACTCAGTAATGGCGGCTCTCTCTGTATTGTAGGTGGGAGGTCACTCAGTAATGGCGGCTCTCTCTGTATTGTAGGTGGGAGGTCACTCAGTAATGGCGGCTCTCTCTGTATTGTAGGTCAGAGGTCACTCAGTAATGGCGGCTCTCTCTGTATTGTAGGTCAGAGGTCACACCTTCTCTCTGGAGGCCGTCAAGCAGTATAAACAGGTCATGAAGAAGAGTCAGGTGGCGGCCGATCCGACTCACCAAACCGAACAGCAAATGTGCAGAAACAAGGACCTGCCGAGGGAACTGCAGGAAGTGTGCCGTGGCACCGACACCATGGAGATCAGGACGACATTCGGAGAACTGGGTAATGTGGAGCTCCGCCTCTCTAGTGAACAGGAGTGGTGTCACTCCAGACTCCTCCCACACACTGACATGTCTGACCTGAGACTGCTGGGGGGCAGGGAGGTGACATCGACTGTGTACAGGTGGCAGGGAGGGAGCACAGATTCCCCTCTATTGCCCCCAGCACCCCCCCCCGTACCCTCCTCTCTTCTCCCACCCCACCCCGTCCTCTCTTCTCCCACCCCACCCCCGTACCCTCCTCTCTTCTCCCACCCCACCCCCCCCTCTCACCCTCCTCTCTCTCACACCCCACCCCGTCCTCTCTTCTCCCACCCCACCCCCCCCCTCTCCCCTCCTCTCTTCTCCCCACCCCACCCCGTCCTCTCTTCCTCACACCCCCCACCCCCCCCCCCACCCTCCTCTCTTCTCCCCCCCACCCCCCCCCCCCCCACCCTCCCTCTTCTCACACCCCCCCCCCCACCCTCCTCTCTTCTCACACCCCACCCCCCCCCCTCCCCTTCTCACACACCCACCCCCCACCCTCCTCTCTTCTCACACCCCACCCCCCCACCCCCCTCTCATCTCACCCCCCCCCCCCCCCCCACCCCCCCCCCCCCCCCCTCTCTCACCCCCCACCCCCTCCTCCTCCCCCCCCTCCTCTCTTTTCCCCCCCACCCCTGCACCCCCACCTTCCCCACCCCCCCCCTCTTCTCCCCCCCCCCCCCACCCTCCCCCTCCCACCCCACCCCCCCCCCCCCCCTCCTCTCTTCTCCCACCCCCCCCCCCTCTCTCCCCCCCCCCCCCCCCCACCCCCACTCCCCCCTCTCCCCCCCCCCACCCTCCTCTCTTCTCCCCCCCCCCCCCCCCCCCCACCCCCCCCCCCCCCCCCCCCCCCCTCTTTTCCACCCCACCCCCTCCACTCTTTTCCCCCCCCCACCCCCTCCACCCCCTTCCCCCCCCCCCCCCCCCCCCCCCCCCCCCCCCCCCCCCCCCCCCCCCTTTTCCCCCCCCACCCCCCCACCCCCCCCACTCTTCTCCCCCCCCTCCCCTCTTTTCCCACCCCACCCCCTCCCCCCCTTTTCCCACCCCACCCCCCCCCCCCCAGCATGGACGAGTGTGAGATCTGTGCCAACGCCGCCTGCACTGGTTGTTGGTATGGGTGAAGACCGATCTGCTATGACCCTCCCCCCCCCCCCCGACAGATTCACCATCCAAGTCTGCAGCTTCCACCTATCAATGAAGAAGAGAAGATATCAAATCCAATGCAATCTGAATGCTAAATAAAATGATTTCTGATGTACTCTGTATGCGGTTGTGTCTGTTCACAGGAGGCTGTGTATGGTGTCATCCATGTAAGATCGTTCTCTCCACATTGTGTTCGGTTATTTCCTGCCCGCCCTCATTACTCGGAACCATCTTGTAGTCTGAAGATCCCACACGGTCCTGAATTCTGGGACATGGAGTCACTGTGCCCTGGGGTAGGTGTCACTGTGCCCTAGGGGGTAGGTGTCACTGTGCCCTAGGGGGTAGGTGTCACTGTGCCCTAGGGGGTAGGTGTCACTGTGCCCTGGGGTAGGTGTCACTGTGCCCTGGGGGGTATGTGCCCTAGGGGGTAGGTGTCACTGTGCCCTGGGGGGTATGTGCCCTAGGGGGTAGGTGTCACTGTGCCCTAGGGGGTAGGTGTCACTGTGCCCTGGGGGTAGGCGTCACTGTGCCCTGGGGGTAGGTGCCTCTGTGCCCTGGGGGTAGGTGTCACTGTGCCCTGGGGGGTATGTGCCCTAGGGGGTAGGTGTCACTGTGCCCTAGGGGGTAGGTGTCACTGTGCCCTGGGGGTAGGTGCCTCTGTGCCCTGGGGGTAGGTGCTTCTGTGCCCTAGGGGGTAGGTGTCACTGTGCCCTAGGGGGTAGGTGTCACTGTGCCCTAGGGGGTAGGTGTCACTGTGCCCTAGGGGGTAGGTGTCACTGTGCCCTAGGGGGTAGGTGTCTCTGTGTCCTAAGGGGTAGGTGTCACTGTGCCCTGGGGGGAGGTGCCTATGTGCATGGGGGGAGGTGCCTCTGTGCATGGGGGGAGGTGCCTCTGTGCCCTGCGGTAGGTGTCACTGTGCCCTAGGGGGTAGGTGTCACTGTGCCCTAGGGGGTAGGTGTCACTGTGCCCTAGGGGGTAGGTGTCACTGTGCCCTAGGGGGTAGGTGCCTCTGTGCCCTGGGGTAGGTGCCTCTGTGCCCTGGGGGGTAGGTGTCACTGTGCCCTGGGGGTAGGTGCCTCTGTGCCCTGGGGGGTAGGTGTCACTGTGCCCTGGGGGTAGGTGCCTCTGTGCCCTGGGGTAGGTGTCACTGTGCCCTAGGGGGTAGGTGTCACTGTGCCCTGGGGGTAGGTGCCTCTGTGCCCTGGGGTAGGTGTCACTGTGCCCCGGGGGTAGGTGTCACACATTTCACCAAGCATGCCCATACTATTCTACACACCGCTAATAAAGTGACCAGATAGGGATGGGACCCGCCGTGCAGAGATCAGACAGGGATGGGACCCGGCCGTGCAGAGATCAGACAGGGATGGGACCCGGCCGTGCAGAGATCAGACAGGGATGGGACCCGGCCGTGCAGAGATCAGACAGGATGGGACCCGGCCGTGCAGAGATCAGACAGGGATGGGACCCGGCCGTGCAGAGATCAGACAGGGATGGGACCCGGCTGTGCAGAGATCAGATAGGGATTGGACCCGGCCGTGCAGAGACCAGATAGGGATGGGACCCGGCCGTGCAGAGATCAGACAGGGATGGGACCCGGCTATTCAGAGACCAGATAGTGATGGGACCCGGCCGTGCAGAGACCAGATAGGGATGGGACCCGGCCGTGCAGAGATCAGATAGTGATGGGACCCGGCCGTGCAGAGACCAGATAGTGATGGGACCCGGCCGTGCAGAGACCAGATAGGGATGGGACCCGGCTATGCAGAGATCAGACAGGGATGGGACCCGGCCGTGCAGAGATCAGACAGGGATGGGACCCGGCTATGCAGAGACCAGATAGGGATGGGACCCGGCCGTGCAGAGATCAGACAGGGATGGGACCCGGCTGTGCAGAGATCAGATAGGGATGGGACCCGGCCGTGCAGAGACCAGATAGTGATGGGACCCGGCCGTGCAGAGATCAGACAGGGATGGGACCCGGCCGTGCAGAGACCAGATAGTGATGGGACCCGGCCGTGCAGAGATCAGACAGGGATGGGACCCGGCTGTGCAGAGATCAGACAGGGATGGGACCCGGCTGTGCAGAGATCAGACAGGGATGGGACCCGGCGTGCAGAGATCAGATAGGGATGGGACCCGGCCGTGCAGAGATCAGACAGGGATGGGACCCGGCCGTGCAGAGACCAGATAGTGATGGGACCCGGCCGTGCAGAGATCAGATAGGGATGGGACCCGGCCGTGCAGAGATCAGACAGGGATGGGACCCGGCCGTGCAGAGATCAGATAGGGATGGGACCCGGCTGTGCAGAGATCAGATAGGGATGGGACCCGGCTGTGCAGAGATCAGATAGGGATGGGACCCGGCCGTGCAGAGATCAGATAGGGATGGGACCCGGCCGAGCAGAGATCAGACAGCGATGGGACCCGGCCGTGCAGAGATCAGATAGGGATGGGACCCGGCCGTGCAGAGATCAGATAGGGATGGGACCCGGCCGAGCAGAGATCAGACAGGGATGGGACCCGGCCGTGCAGAGA